GAAAGTTATCGTGTAAACGGCCGGACATACTGACCGATTCTAGAGTGTACTCACTTTTTGAGTACACAAAAACATTGTAATACGAAAAAAATAGCTGAAGATGCTCTCTACAAATTGTAGTAAGTTTTCATTAGAATTTTTTTTTTTAAATGATTTATTTTCTATATGAGCTTTCATTAAACAAATCTTTAAAAGTTAACTATCAAATTTACTAGTTTGACAGAAAACTAATAAAATTTTCAACTTTAAATCAAAATCGAAAATTTAAAACAATTTTATTTAACTTAAAATTAATTTTTTTCATGTTCGCAAATGAGAAATAATTAGTAGTCACAGTTGTGTCTCTACTATTTTAACAATTAATGATAAAAAATATCTAAAAGCTTACAAAGGCTTGCACTTACATTTATTCAATACGTGTCTAAGAAATACATAGATAAACTTGGTAAGATTCTCGAATTTACACAATATATATGTTACATAACTACTTCAAGAATTGATTACAAGTGTAAAAAACTACGATGACAAAACCACAGAAGAAAATTTATTGTATATTCTGGTAGAACTCCAAACTAATCGGTATGTTTAATCTATTTCTGTCCTCATAGGGTAAAAAGACATCAGTCAAGAGTTGTACTTTTCTTTCGTTTCTTACACTCTATTTCTTCTTGGTTCTACAGTTGCTTTTTTCCTTTCTTTTTTTTCTTCTTCTGTAGATTAATGTACTTACAAGAAGATAAAATAACTCGTTGAAACCTTATATGGCATCGAATAAATAAGGATATAAATGTGCTTGAATAAATTGCAGAGTATAAAAGTTATCAAGAAATTTAAAATATAGAAAATCGAAATCTTACATCCTTATTGTTACTTAATCGTGATCAAACCGGAAAATCGTTAAAAAGCTTCTTTTTTTTTTAAGCGTCAATTCTTCAATGATTCCATCGATTCTATACTCTCTAAATAGCTCTATCTTGATTTTGATAAACGAAAACCAATAGATAGAAAAAATTCTTCTCTTTCGATCTACAAAAGACTGACATTCCCTAGCTTGTTTCATTTGAGAGTTACAAATTTTTTCCTGAGACCATTGATTACAGCGATTACCCGGAAAAACATAGATAATATTTCTAAAATTCCACGATTAGCCTCCGTATGTAAAGAAGCAGTCGAAATTGCGCACATATGAAAATAACAGTATCAGATCAGTTCGAACCGATAATCACATATCATTATTCAACTCAGTATGGTGAATTATTCCGGTCTAGTTATCCTTTCCAGATGATTAGAAATCAATCGACTGAAATCGAACGTCTCAGAAAAAGTCTTAAAACTCTCGAACTAAACAAACTAGGAATGTTGACCATGCACAGATTGAAAGAGAAACAACTTCTGAATATTATTTTCTTACGTAGATTGACGATCAAGCGCTTTTGAACGTAATGATTCCCATTGACGATTAAGAATTTTCATTTGTTCTTTTATTTCATTTTCTTCTCGTGGTTGTAAATCAATATTTGTTGATTTTAATAATAATCGATTACCTTCTTCAAGTACTTGACCTATTTGACTTTGATCTTTGGTTAAATTTATCATAAAGTTCTATTTTAACAAAACAAAAATAAAAAGAGGATTTTCGATATTGAAATATTTCTTTTTGTTACTTCATGTATTTGAAATTGTTCTTTAACAATTTTAAGATCATTTGTAACAATTTTATCTTGTTTATCAAGTTCATCTTCTAATTTATGAATCCAACGAATAGTTCTTTCCATATTTGTTTGATATGTTGTTAATAGAGATGATTTTAATGAAGTACGTGATTCTGATGGCAATGGTGTAGTTGGAGTTCGTGTTGGAGAATTATTTGATCTTGATGAAAGTCTTATAGGTGGAGATGGAGACTAATGAAATTAGGAGTTGAAAAAAAAAATCATAATAAGAAAACATTGTTTTTTTTTTCTTGCTTTGTATTTTACCTTTGGCTCCATCGACCTACGTGTTTCATAACTTAGAGATCCCATCATCGTCGGTGTTCCATTTATCTCTTTATCTTCAATAACAATATTATTTGTTGGCATTTGTTGAAAAAGACACATAATATACATCAGTATTGACTTTTTGTCCGGATATTCAGAGAGAACATCTATAATATGAAATATTTCGTTTTATTGAAAGTCATTTTCAAATTTAATAAGTAACTAGATAGATTCGATTGAAATAATGAATTTTATATAATGATGAGATTGAATATATCGAGTTACCTTAAAAAATATTATTTGAATATAATTAATTCTTTACTACTCTATTGATTACTGAAGTAACTATTTATAGAACGATTACAGAAAGTATAGGATTTGAAAATGACTTTTTTTTTTGTAGTGAAATTCATGAATTATTTACTAGTTAAAAGAAAATATTGTCTTTTCATTACTTCGTTTTTGAAATATCAGGTCTATAAAATCAAATCATTCGAAAAACTTCTATGAGATATAAATTGATCAAAAAGTGAGTTAGATATTTTTTTTAAGTTTCATAATAGGAAAAAGAAGAATACCACTACCTTGCGGTATGAGATGTTGTTTACCGGCAAATTCATTAGTTCGATAGCTTCCATACATCTAATACGAGTTGTTACTCTAGACAGAAGACCGGTCTAACACAGAGTAGCCATGCGAACAAATATCAAACGCATGATTTGAGACAAACAACCATTAGTGACTTTCTTTAACAAGAAATGTCAGAAAAAAAAATGTATGATATTATCAGTTCACTCGTTACTTTTTTTCCTATTATTACAATACCATGGAATTGATGGTGCTTTTGTCCAAGCAATAATAGGATCGAAGAAATAAAAAATCAAGACTTAGCATGTCACTAAATCCCTTTTCTCTATCACGCAGTCATTAGACTAATCAAGCGGCTCTATATAGAGATATAGACACTCGGTGGATCAGATCACATCATCAACATAGTAGGCAGACTAATACTCTATTGACAAAATGATGTTATCAGTAGTTCTTCGAGAATTGCTATGAAAGATAATTGATTTTCTTTTTTGATATAATAGCAAAATGTCATAAGCTTGGGAAGATTTTGATCATCAGAAAATCAATCTCAAATGAAACAAATATCATATTGAGAATTAGCAGAAAAATCAACATCGAATAGTAGATTCAATACTTAAGACCAAATATATTCGGTCCTTACATCTTTGCCTTCCAGTATCATGTTCACACAACTGATGTGTTCGAAAATTTTATGCAAAAATTATTGAATAACTTCAAAAATTAATCGTTTCTTTTTTTCATAAACGGCGTATTTTACTAATGAATATCTAAAAGAAAGATTTATCAGAAGTCATACAAAATATCTTGAGCATATTGACACTGCTAGAAAAATATTATCGTACTTTTTTACTACTAGTACATATATTATTAATCGCAATCAAAAAGTTTATTGATTTTGTTTTTTAAATTGAAGTTACACTTGAAAAAAAATATTTATTAATGTAACTTGACGAGCTCTATACAAAATGAAACTTTTAATTTTCAACACATTAATAAATCTAAAATTCTACTCAAGGATATTTTCATTCTTTATTCAATTTCTATAATAAATAAATTCACTTTAATATTTATACTCATTTAACTACTAGAAATTTTCTAAAAAAAAAAGTAAGGCTATATTATTCGACATGTATATTCACAGAATACTATGTGTAAACCTCAGTAACACTAACCATGAAATTAATCTTGAACAAATCATTAACCTCAACTTGTCTCGAATCACTCGTCCGATAGTATACTGACGACGGGTGTGAGACATACACTTACTCTTGTATTTGAGTAGCACAAGAATTCTACATCTGATCGACCTTCTGTCCAGATCTACAGCTATTCATAAGTGTAAAGAAGATATCAGCCTATTGAATCAACTGCTAGGCAACACTTCATATTGTAAGGTAGTGGAAAGTCAGGGCCGTTCTTTTTTTTTTTCTGTTGGATACGATGATAAAGTGTTAACAAGTTATTATTTTTGGACTTATTCTAGTGTTATACATATTATGAGAGGGTATCATTATACTTAATCATTGAAGACAAGAGTTTTCTCCTTTTAACCTTTTCTCTTTTTTATTAGTACAAGAGTACATAAAACCGCAAATTGTCATGTCCTCTAATACATTCCATAAAATATGTCATTTTGACAATGTCTAGACGATCGTAATGAAGAAAGAAAAATTTAATAATATTTTCTTTAAATCGAATAATGCTTAATAAGATTCAACATATCAATATGATTGATTCTTATTTCTTTGATAAATTCTACTTAAACGAAAAGAAAAGCAAAAAACTTGATGATATATATTATTTGTCATCAAAAGATCTTTCTTATCTAACTACGTTAGAGAATTTATATTTATAAATTGTTTAATCGAATCGCTCATCCCCTAATCGAGGCTTCTGAAGAATGATTTATCAAAAATATTTAAAATTTTCAAGGTAAATAGATCTATATATGAATACAGTAAAATTTTTCATAGACTCTAAATTCTTAAATATTTACCTTTCTAGGAAATATCAAAGTTGAAAACTTAAAAAAAAAAAAAAACAAATCTTCCTTTCTTAGCTGTAATATGTTCGATAGATTTTAAAATAAAAAAGTTAACCCTTTAGCCCCCCATAGCGCTTCCAGAAGAGCCACTGATAAAATAACTTTATAAATAGAGTATTAGCCTATTGAATATGCCAATGGTGCGGCCTAATCCACCGAAT